ATTATTTCCTCAGATTGCAAAGAAGTTGTCTCGGACATTTAGAAGGGGACCAGAGGACGATATGGTACTATTATTAGCGAAATAAAACTAAGTGCGTCTACTTTTAATTGTAATTTTGTTTGGGAGGGTCGTGCCGTGAACTATGAGGCACATAGATTAGCTAAATTTGCTTTTTCGCAGGGTCCGGGACGCCACCTGTGACTTGGAAACCCCCATGACCTTCTATGTATACCACACCATGTGGTTTTTGGTGATCAATAAATTGTTTTTCACCCCTCAAAAAAAATGTAATTCTATTTCCTCTTTTCTTCAATGAAAAATACACAGGCTCTAGGTATTGGCGAAAAAAAGCCTGGAATTATTCGCTTGCTCCTGACTTCCGTTGATCTCCACTTGCTCCTGAAACAGTAAAACTCCACTCTCCAAATAATTTCACCAACTCCCACCTAATTTTTCTACCGCGCGCAGGTTTTCACCTGGACGCCGGGATGGATAGTCGGTTACGGCCATGGGGTCCACCCAGCCAGCCTGGTACCTGGCAGCCGGCTACTTCGGTTAACCCAATAGCACGGGAGACGCCGCCGGAAAGTTTTCGCAACAGAAGAACCACCGCGCGCGCCAGAGAGAGACAGAGAGAGATGGCGGCTTCTGCGCTGCCGTGGAAGCCTCTTTTCTGGGAGCGCTTCGAGGATTCGCGTGCCCTCGCCGCCGCCGCCCGCGGCGACCTCGCCGCTGCCACCGCCACCATCGACATCGCACTCGCATCGCCTCTGCGCGGTGGTGACGTCGACCGCGCTCTCTCGCTGATTGGAGAGTCGGCGGACAAGCTTGCCATGGCGAGCAAGCATCTTGCCATCCTGCTTTCCGGCCTTGGGACCGTCGAGCTCCTCGCGCGCCGACGGATCCGCGGCGACGACTCACTAGAGCAGCAGGCCCGACCGAGGGCGCGCGAGGCCAGGGCACGGGCCGGCGCCGCCTACGACGACGTGGCTCTCTCTCGCGGCCACCTGGGAGCCGCGGCACGTCTGGTTGCCTGCGGCGACCTCCCCGACATCCACTTCGGCGCCGAGTTTCTCGCCGCCACCAGAGCCGCGGCGGCGGCCTCGGAGCACCTCCGCGGGGTGGACGACGCCCTGCGCATCCGCGACGACCTCGCGCCTCCCCTTCGCCCCCTGCACCGCAGCGTCCACCCCGACACGCGCCCAGAGGCGGCGGCCTCGGAGCACCTCCATGGGGTGGACGACGCCCTGCGCATCCGCGGCGACCTCGCGCCTCCCCTTCGCCCCCTGCACCGCAGCGTCCGCCCCAACACGCGCCCAGCGGCGGAGGCGGAGGCGGCGCACCCCAGCGCCAAGCGGGAGGAGAACCACGACAAGGCGTGGAAGGCCCTGGCGTGCTCCGCTCCAGCCGCGCTACTGCACGGATGCGCCGACCTCCCGGAGCTCAAGGCGGCCCACGCCGAGCTCGGCAAGTGCGTCAGCGCCCTGAAGTCCTCCGCCGCCAAGAAGGTCGCCGCCGACACGTACAGCGCAGCGCTTCGCGCGCTGATCGCGGCTCACACCGCGGTGTCCCGCGTCCTGACGACCAACGAGGTGGTGGCCAATCTCCTCCTCCTCGCCGGCCTCCAGCTTGGCCTCAGCACTGGTCCGCGGTGGCAGTCCTGGGAGGGATCGCGCGCCGACGCCGGGCGCCACGGGCGCGCGGCCCTCAACCTCATGTGGTCGGCATCTTCGTGCGTAGACTACGTCCTCGGCTTGCTGTGGTGGGACGCCGCCACATCGCAGGAGGCCGAGGAGCTCCTTCGCAGAGCCGTGGCCGAGGCCGGCGAGGCGGTCGAGGCCGCCAGCAACATGCGCCACAGCATTGAGCTTCTCCGCGGCTGCGGCGTGCTCAACGCGATATGATCGAGTTCCCCTGCGCCGTGAATGTGATGCTACTCCCCGTCGACACAAGACGATGAATCGGCAAATCGATATGGTTAGAGATCAGAACTGCAATGCCCTCGTTCTATTCGTGCAATTGCGCTAGAGACATCTGATTTCTGCGATGCCATTTCTCAATCTTGTGCTAAATTTTGCTGAGACGGCTGATTTTTTCTTGAAAAAACTTTCAGAGATGTTTTGTTTCCTGAAGTAATGCATCAACCTATGTGAGGTTGGACCTTCGATGTTGTTGATCTTGCCTACTGTATTGGTTTATCGGTTTGCATGTTGCACATGTTTATGTATGCAGCTTATATCCTGATTTATGTTGACTACTACTTCAATGCTGCTTACTAGTGGAGCAAGTTTGATACTGCACTTCGGATTTAACAGGATGCATCGTTGTATGTTTTTGTTTCAGTCGTGCAACTAACATTCTTGGTCGTTCTGCTATGTAGCTACTCATTTCTTGTGTACCCTCACATTTCTTGTCGCGCCCGATAGGTGTTCGGTCAAATGCCATTGAGCTTTTCTTAAACTTCTTGTTGTTTTCTAGAGAAGCATGATGGCGGGGTACTCAATGTACGAGTAAGAGTTATTGTGCTATGCATGGTTGGTCTTTTATGAGGACTTTGTAGGCATGAACAAGGGCCCGACCTTTTGGCAAAGCTTGGATGCTTCGTCTAGTGAGCGAAAGAACTTTGTGCCCTTCAACATGCACATCATCAACGCACGCAATGTGAAGTCGCTAACGCATCGGTGGTACACCGTCTGCAATTCCTTCATGAAGTTTTGCGGTACGATTCACCAAGAGGAGACAAGGTGGTCATTGGGCGCGTCAACCATCGAGATCGTTAGTGTTGCGTTCTGTTACTCTACATGTTGGTTAATTCATTCATTCACTCAATGTTGATGTACACGTTGTATAGCTTGCACGTGCTGTCATGACGTACTACAGGACCGAGGGCAAGTGATTCACACACATACATTGTTGGATGAAACTCAAGGGGCAGGTTGTGTGGGACGACATGTGCCGGTTCTAGAATAGATGATTCTGGAAAACTTGTTTAAAATCGGTTATCTCGTTGAATTTTGAACTATTGTTGCGCTAGAGATATTTGAATGGATGAATTGTGCTACTTCTATAATCACTTTTGAGTGTTGCAGGCTATTGTCTACAAGTTATGTCTAAACTTTACGAATTTCATTGTGTTTGCATGAATTTCGTCGGGTTTGTTAGAATCCGCTTCGAAATGTATGCGGTGAAGGTCGAATGGCCTACTCCTGCATCGGTGTCCGCGAGCTGGTCCCACTAGCCCACAAACGTATATGGTGCCCGGTGTATGGGTCAGCGTTGGAGGCAGGCAAATATCAGATGATACCGAGGTTTAGGTAATACCGTGATGCAGGCTCATGACAGCCATTGGATCTCAGATCTGACGGCTCATGGGAGCTTTTAGGGGGTGTTTGGTTCAGGGACTTTTTAATCCCAGAGACTAGAAAAAGTCCCTAAAAAGTCCCTAGGAACCAAATGGAAGGGATTTTTTCTACAGGGACTAAAAAAAGACTCTACTAGAGAGTCTTTTTTGATTAGTCCCTGGGACTAGAAAAAGTCCTAAGACTTCTGAACCAAACACCCCTTAAACATTTTGCAAAAAGGTTATCCAAGACAAGTACAAGAGCTCCTCACATATCGTTGAATCGAGATCCAACGGCTCGTATCACCTAAGCATATCACCTGAAACTTTCGCGCGGCTCCATCACCTCACCTAGGCGTCCGAGCACCAGCACGACTCTGGGTTCCCCTTCCACCCCACCATGCGGCGTCCAGCACACCGTCGGCTCCCCCCTGTTCACCAACGTCAATGTCGAGCAGAGCTACCGCCTTGGGTCCCCCTTCCACCCCACCCTCAACGGCGAGCGTTCCAAGGTCCCCTCGGACACCCGCGACAGCGACGAGATCGAGATCGCCCGGGGCGACGCGAGCGTGACCGCCTACGACGACACGCTGATCCACGCCGGCTTCGACCACTGGCTGGACCAACCTCCTAGCCAGCGCGCTCGGCCCTCGCCGACGCGCACCGCTAGACCGCCGGCCTCATCGCGCTCCACGGCGAGGCCGGGCAAAAACGTCCTGGCCCACCGCGCCGCGCCCCTCGGCCTTTCGCCGCGACGACGACGACCCGGCCTGGGCGAGCACAGGGCCGCGTACCTCCTCAACGCCGCTGCGCCTGCGCTCCGCGGCGTCGGCAACGAGTTGGGCTCTGTGGCTCGTCGCGGCGTCGGCAACGAGTTCTTCCACACCTGGATGATGCTCCTGAAGCGCGGCGCGCCCTAGTCGCACCGCGGCCGCGTCCTACTCCCCCTGCACGCCACTACTACTACTCCAGACCCCGGACCAATCCAACCGTAGCGCTTCCAATAAACTGCGTTGCGAACTTGCAACACCAGTACCTCTACAGAACTGCCAGATGTGCTTCAGAGACAGTGCAACAGATGGCACTTTTTTTTTAGGGGGACAGATGGCACATTTCTGTTGTTCTGCTTCTCAACTCTGATGCAAGTATTTTTTTTTTTTGAACCGGGCTGAACCCATTTTCATTGCAAATGAACGGAAATACAGCAGTTTCCAGAAACATTGTCACGAGGAGGGACATCTGATGCAAGTACTGTAGTAGTATATTGTTCTTTCGTTGCAATACTGTTTGTGCAATTTCCGTTGACTGCCACTAAGGCACAAAGCAATGTGCTTTAGGGGCACGCTGCTAATTTGGCAGCTCAGACAGAGGAACTTAGAAATGCACCGACAGTCTTCTTGCGTTGCACTTTGAGAGGGTTGACGTTCCAAAAAAATATCGGAATTGTCAAATACAGTCGTGCTAGCAAGTCGCAACAGCAGTTGGCAAGTCAACCATGCCAGCACCGAATTCCTCCTCTCCCCTTTATAAGCCAAGCTCAGCGTCTCCTCCGTTCAACCAGATTCAGTCCGGCGATCTCAGAGCTCCCCTGCTTCCATCTATCTGAAGAAGTTCAGGCGAGAGCAGGTAGGGAGAAGAGAAGAAGCAGCGGTAGCTGGGGATGGACTCCGCGGAGAGGTCCAGGAAGAGGGCGCAGAGATGGAGCAAGCGCAAAGCCGTCGTCATCCACCTCGCCGTCTGCTTCGTCGTCGGCGCCTTGGCGCCACTGGCCGCCACCGGCGGCCCGTTCATCGACGGCATCCGCGCCTCGGTCCTTCCGTTTGGCGGTGTTCAGCGAGTGGCTCCGCCGTCGCCCCCTGCTGCCCCTGACATCGGCCTCCTGCTGATCGTCACCGTCACAAGGCCGGACGAGGACGGCATGTCGCAGGAGGCGTCGGTGACGAGGCTCGGGCACACGCTGCGGCACGTCCCGCCACCCCTGGTATGGATCGTGGTTGGTGCCGAGAACAGGTCGGCGTCGACGGTCCAGGTGCTGCGCAGCACCGGCGTCATGTTCCGGCATCTCACATACGCCACCAATATCACCACGGCCGTGAACAATGCCACCACCAACAGCACCATGGAAGCCAGCGCCAACAACACAACCACCGCCGCCGAGAAGAACGGCACCAACAACACCATCGTCGAGAACACCACCGTGGAAGGCAGCGCCAGCAACACCACCACCGCCGCCGAGAAGAACGGCACCAACAACACCATTGTCGAGAACAACACCGGGAATGCCAGTGACGAAGCGGACCTGCAGAAGAACGTGGCGCTGAGCCACATCGAGCGGCACCGGCTGGCCGGGGTCGTCCACTTTGCTGCCGCCTCTGCCATATACGACCTCGAGTTCTTTGAAGAGCTCAGGCAGACTCGGTGCGTCGTGCTTCTTCCTTCTCTTGCAGCTTTGCAACATCTTTCTTTGCCTTTGCCAAAAAAGTACCAACACAGGAGCAACATAATAACAACACTCATGCAATCCTTGATCCAGGGGCGTTGCAGCATGGCCAACCGCAACTGTGTCATCAGCAGACCAGACAGTAACACTACAAGGACCAACCTGCAACTCATCACAGATAACAGGCTGGTACTCCAAGGACTCGAGCACCAATGCAACAGCAACACATACAGCAGATGCGGTTGCTGCACAAGATACAGGCGCCATCCGCAACAGCTCCAGTTTACCTCCTGAAATAGGCATATCTGGACTTGGGTTCTGGAGCTCCATACTGTGGGAATCAGAATGGTTCGCCGACAGCAACAGCTCTTCAGGAGGCGGCTCTCAGGACTACATCCAGCTTGTACGACGAATGGCGGTCGGCGACGAGGACGTGCGGAAGGGCATCCCTTCTGACTGCTCCAAGTCACGGATAATGATGTGGCACCTTGACATGCCAAAGTACACTCCAGAAGTTAAAGAACAGGAGACTCCGCGGGAGCAAAGTCTATTGGAGGAAGACGAAGAGGACTATATGACTTGATATTGCGAGCTAGAGAAGAACCATATTGCAGTACAGCTATATCGATAGAGTAGATAGATGAACAAATGTTATGCAAAACTCAACACAGGCCAACCTCATGTAGTACATCATTTATTCCTTAACCAGCACAACTTTGGTCTTGGAAGTGTCAAACAGTCAAAGAACCTGCTACGTCTAAGACATCTAATGTTCTTTCTCCAGAAATTTCAGTGATACACCAAGGCTTTTGTCTGCCTTCTAGTTCTAGGTGCAGAGTCTGGAGGTGCAAAAATAATAGTATCTTCATTGGGTGAGCACATTTTGCATGATATATGATCAAAAGGCTGAACCACCTCCTTTAGTTTTCCCCAGCAAAACATCTTTTGCCTCGTTGATCTTCGACGCAAGGTAATGGCTTCCTCCTGCATCCGGGTGATTGGCAACCATGACCCTCTTGTGTGCCTCTTTCACCTTATCAGGACGGACGTTTTCCCTGGAGGAATCAAAAGGAAACATGGCAACTTAACAATGATGATAAGACACACAAAACACGTCTCAAATCATAAATCACAAATAAAATTGTTGAATCACAAGTAACTGGCACTTATTCAAATGTCAGAATGACCAGTCTGGCATGCCAAGATGCATATAAATTTAGAAGGAAAAAGATGAAGACCTAATTCTACATGTTGGTCACATCTATATCTATATCTATATCTATATCTATCTATCTATCTATCTATCTATCTACTCCCTCCGTAAACTAATATAAGAGCATTTAGAACACTAAAGTAGTGATCTAAATGCTCTTATATTAGTTTACAGAGGGAGTATCTATCTATCTATCTATCTATCTATCTATCTATCTATCTATATATATATATATATATACCAATAAAAAGACCCAAAGGGGCAGATCCAACGAATCCCGGCCGTCAAATCAGGTCAATCCAACGACTCAGGCTGCTCCAATGGTGAGCGCTCAACACGTTTAGTGTGCAGTTAATATCATACCAAATATTAATGCCAATGCTAATCACATACTTAATATGCAAATAATATCCTACCTAATGTTTACGTGTAATTAATATATTACCAAATATCAACGTGCATTGCACGTACACATTTACTAGTAAGTACAGGGGGCACTATGAACGAAAAAAGATAGCAGGTCAATAATTGATAACTCCTCCTTCATGAGCTCAACAGTTTGTTTTTAATCAACTGAGTAAATATCTTTCTGGCGATGTGCGGAAAATTCAGAAGGACAGGCCTGAGGCAGTGGTGAAGAAGTACTCCCCACTTGTGCCAAGAGGTCCTGAGTTCGACGCAGCCTCTCTGCATTGAACTTTGCAGGAGTATGGTCCTGGGTTCGACGCAGCCTAATCCTTCCCCAGGCCCTATCTGGTGTGGGAGCTTCTAGCAATGGGTCTGTCTTTTCTTTTTTATATGTAGAGAAAAGTCGAGACATATCATTGCAAGCAGGAGATCAATTTGCAGGGAATTATTTACTGATGCATTCAACTGACCTCCAGGCCAAACTAGAAATATATATACAAGATTGCACCTAGTTTGAGATGGCAATTCTATCCTTTTATACACAGGTAATTACTCAAAAGGCTCCTTTGGATAGGTTCAGATTTCAGAACTAAGATCCATGTGAATTCGGTCAGGAACCAAGCATTTTAATCCAAATCAAATCTAGTGGGGTTGTGGCGTGATAAATTGATCCAACAGACTGTTCGCAACAAACTTGAGCCCAGATATATTCTCACCCCAAGCCCAAATATCACTTCAGCTGTGGGCCTGTGGCCTACTTAATCTCACTCTTAAATCTTGTTCCACTTTAGCCACTATGATGGCTTGAGCCTTTACAACCCAACATCTGTCTCCTTATTAACACCAATCCGCAGAAGGGTGAAGGGGAACACAGGAGCTCAGCTTGGTTAAAGTTTAGACTTTGTCAGACGGCAAGCCAGTTCTATAGTTCGTGACTTGAGTGGCTGAGATGCAAGCAGTGGTCGACAAAGGTTGACTAGGTTCTCCACTCCATTATGACACTAAATGGTCAAATCTTACACCACAATTTAAAACCACTGAAAGCTAGCTATTGCTTTTGATCTTAAATGGCATTTGTAAAGTATTCTGTAGTTGGAAGTGAGAGAGTTCCCTTTGCCTTAATTGCAAGATGTTCAGCTGTAAATTAATGAAGCAGCTTAAAACCACATTTACAGCTTATGGTATAATTACTTTGTTAAGTATAGCTATCAATCTGTACATGTGTATGCTAGTGTGTTAATGTCAGAATGGAGTTTGGACTAAAAGTGAATCTGTTTTTAGTATGAAATTGTACAGTATCGCCACATGACTTTCTGCAAGGTTCCAAGTATCTTCTACGTACTGCAGGGAACGAAATGAAGCTAGGACAACTACAAAATATTACAATTAGCTATCTCAGTAGACTTCTCAGAAAGCATAACAGTTGCAGCATACATAAAGGAAGCTAATGATGGCTGTTATCCTTTTACATCACTTTTAGGGGATTTCTAGTGTCCATTTGAGAATGGTACCGGTAAAAACAAATTCTTCCCACGAGTCTGATGGGCGGGGGAAGGGGTCAAAGTAAGTTTCCTACATGTGCTGTGCTGCATAAATTATATCTTTCCGTGCTATTCCTGTTCTGTACAGAAGTAAACATAATTTCAATGGCATGAGATTGAACTAGAGTCCTACATATGAATACATATATGCTACATATAAGAATACTTGACTATGGTATGGGTGTTATGCTTTTATGCAACACAGACCTGATACCCAAGATTAGACCAGCTTCCCGTCGGGTCATTGTAGCTTGAAAGCCACCTTCATAGAATTTACGCATCCTTGGAACTATGGGCCTTGCCTTGTAAGCTTGCCAAGCCTGGATGCCATATCTACCCGCAAGAGCAGTGGCTGCCACAGCAAGTCCAGCTATGAGTGGTGTGGCCTGCAGAAATTGGATAAAAGTAAGTACAAACAATTGTAGCTTTACCGTGTTGCATACCCATCTTTACCTATTTTTTCTACATTCATGCATCAAAGTGGAATTGAACTATCAGCTGGTCAAATAATCCAAAAGATGATTAATAAATAAGCATCTGCTGATGAGATGCTCGAAGGGAGAGTGAGACAGTAGGAAATCGCTTGCAGATTGCAACATAGCTCAAGGTACATAACTAAACATCCATGTGTTGTTACTTGTTAGTAATCGACAACCACTGTTGAGTTATAATCAATATTTAACCATCAAAAATAGATCTAGGACTATCCAGTGGGGTAAAGTCTGAAACATCATTTCATCCCAAAATACATCTGAAATTCAGAATGATAAACATTGAGCAGGTGAAAAAACATGTGAACTGGAAATTGTGATTTACACTAATCTGGTCTCATTCTCGGCCAGCTACTAAAAGCCACTTCCAAAGGCAGTAGCTACCAGAAGGATATAAAGTTGGGACACAAAATGTCGCGAAAACCAGAAGAATCTGTCTAAATCGCCCCCAGCTTTAACAGAACAACCATGCTCCTCCCTAAGGCCAATATTTAAGCAACATCTGATCCCCCTAGCCGCACATTGGCATCACTACGCTCTGAAATGTCACATAATTTGGCTGCAACCTCCAGATTAAATTACACGTTGCTTCGATAGAATCGATTCAATCTAAAACGAACAAGCGTGCAGCGATAAAAAACTATTAACAAGAAGAAGCATGATCTCTCGTGTTTGAATAGAGCTCACCATCTCCACGACCAGTAACTCCGGCGAGTTGTTCAAGGCGGGAGGGCGCAGAAGACGCGGCCGATGAGTGGCTGCACGCAGGTGCGGACGCGGGCGGCGCTAGGGCCCGAGAGATCGCCGGAGATGAGAACGGCGTCGGCGGAGTCGCGTCGCGTGGAGGGTACTGGAAGCTTCGCGGCGGAGGGAGGGATGGGTGGATCGTGGAAGACGGAACCCTACTTGGGCTGGGCCTTTGGGAGCGCCCACGAACTGAGCCGAAGAGGGAAGCAGGTACATGGGACCCACTTGTCAGTTGCCACTGAAAATGGGATATGCACCTTTCGGATATCGTGTTCCAGTTCCGAAAGCGTACTCAGGTTGAGTTGAAATTCTCTTGGGTTCCCTCAAAAAGAAATTCTGTCTTGGATGATTTGTTTCCACTTTTTAAAAACTACTCCATCATCGCTCTTATTTTTATTTTTTTCGAGAAAACTTTCAATCTATTAATTTTCAATCATGGTAGTACAATGAACACCAGATTCATAGACCACCTAGCAACGACTACATCTACAAGAACTGAAGCGAGCCGAAGACGCGCCGCCACCCCTCCATCGCCGGAGTCGGACACAACTCGTTGTAGTAGACAGTCAGAAAGTCGTCGTGTTAAGGCCTCATAGGACCAGAACAGCAACCGCCGCCGATGAAGAATAACGTAGACCAGAAGGATCCAACCCAAAGACACACGAACGTAGACAAACAACGAAGAGATCCGGGCAAATCCACCAAAAATAGATCTATACGCTCTTATATTTCTTTACGGAGGATGATCTATAAGCTCTTATATTTCTTTACGGAGGGAGTAGATGATTTCCCTCTTTGTGGCGAGAATTTAAAGTTTAATTTCAGATGAATTGTGTATGAAGAAATGATCTAAATCAAAAGCTAGTATTAATGTAGAGACGTTTCATACTTACACTATTTTGTGAGGTAAAAGGCCGCATATTTAGAGAATTATAGTTAGTAGGGATCAACTATCTAAGAATAGTAGATCCATTTTTTTATTTTTCTTGTTAAAGACGGGTTTACCCTCTTTCATTATTGTAAACAAGTACTCCCTTCGTCCGAAAATACTTATCATCAAAATGTATAAAAAGAGATGTAACTTGAACTAAAATATGTCTAGATACACCCACTTTATTCATTTTGATGACAAGTATTTCCGAACTAAAATACTTGTCATCAAAAATTTTACGGGTTTGACCAC